TCCCCCTCACTGTCCTACGTGGCCCAGTTGCTACCCTCAGTGGCCCCATAGTTGCCTTCTGTGGCCCCGCATTATCTGCACTTCGTGGCCCCCGCTCGTTCGCGCCCGTCGTGGCCCCATACGCATTCCCTTCGTGTCCCCGCTGTCGCCCTTCGTGGCCTATTTCGTGCCCTTCGTGGCCCTGCTGTCGTTCTCTCTCGCTCTCGCTTTCGCTCGTCGTCGCCGTCGTCGTCGTCGTCGCCGTCGTCTTCGACGTCGTCGTCGTCGTCGTCGTGTCGTCGTCGTCGTCGTGGTCGGTCCCCTGTCCGTCCCTCTTGGGGTCGGGTCGACGGTCCGCGGCCGCCCCGCCGATCAGCGCTGCCGCTGGCCAGGCCGACGGTCCGTGGCCGCCTCGCCGCTTGCCGGGGCCAGGCCTGCAGGCAAGAAAGGTATACCCCCCAAAAGGGGTTCGATCGAAGACGAAGAGGGCGGGTATCGAGGGTTTGGGAAATACGCGTTATTGGACACTCGAGCATATAAGGGCGAACAGTCTTAATAGTATTGTTGTTGTTGTTGTTGTTGTTGTTGTCGTTGTTGTGGTTGTTGAACATTATTCCTTCTAAAGAATTATTATTGTTGGGACCCCTGGTGCGCGACCTCTGCGCCGCGCCTAGGCCGCAGCTACATTTTCATCATTTTTTCGCGAAAGCTTCAGAAAAGTGGATGAGCTCCGGATCCGGTTTTTTGTTGACGCTCGTTTTCCCTTGCAAAAAACAATAGAAAATGAAAATTCTTGTTCTTACTTGATCAAATTGCAAGAATCCCTTGCAAAAAATAAGGTAAAGTGGACATTCGTGCGCGCAAGACGAAATCCTTCCAAAACCTTAGGTTTCGTAACGATTTTAACATAAAAACATCAAAAACCCAATGGTTTTTTAAGAAAAAAATGTCAAAATGTCCTTCCGCGCGCGCTGTCCGAATCCCACAAAACCAATGGTTTTTCAACATTTATGTTACATGAGCTCGCGCGAGCTACTTTTTCTTGTTCTAACATAATCAAATTTCAATAATCCCTTGCAAAAAATAAGGTAAAGTGGACATTCGCGCGCGCAAGACGAAATCCTTCCAGAACCTTAGGTTTCGTAACGATTTCAACATAAAAACATCAAAAACCCAATGGTTTTTCAAAAAAAAATGTCCAAATTTCATCCCGCGCGCGCTGTCCGACTCCCACAAAACCAATGGTTTTTCAACATTTATGTTACATGAGCTCGCGCGAGCTACTTTTTCTTGTTCTAACATAATCAAATTTCAATACTCCCTTGCAAAAAAAAGTAAAGTGGACATTCGCGCGCGCAAGACCAACAAAAAACACGACGATCTCAGGAACTTGCCCCAAAAATGTGACCAACTCCGCTCTCTCTGTCTCTCTCTCTGTCTGCTCTCTGTCTCTCTCTCTGTCTGTCTGTGTCATGTATTGTATGTCACAATTGCAGGATGCTGGGCACACGCGCGCCCCGAATAAGTGACCAAGTTCTGTGGGTGTGTACCCCACGCCAGTGTAGTAGCCACGGTCGTCCGCACGCCACGAAGTGAAGTGTCCCAACGTCATAGGGCGGGAAGCTGGGTTTGGGTGGTCGCGAAGAGTCGTTTGGATATTTGGTAGAGCTTGAACTGCCCCCCCACGAAGTGGGGGTATTGTCTCGCGTCGCATGAAAACCCTGGCACTGGTGAGAACACTGAGCGTTCGGGTAAAATGATTGTTGTTGTTGTTGTTGTTGTTGTTGTTGTTGTTGTTGTTGTGGTTGTTATTGTTCTTGTTGTTATCGTCGTCGTTGTTGTTGTTGTTGTTGTTGTCGTTGTCGTTGTTGTTGTTCTTGTTGTTCTTGTTGGTGTTGCGGTTGTCGTTGTAGTTGTTGTCGTTGTGGTTGTTGTTATCGTTGTTACTGTTGCTTGTTGTTGTTGTTGTTGGTGTTGGTGTTGGTGTTGGTGTTGGTGTTGGTGTTGTTGTTGTTGTTGCTGCTGCTGCTGTTATTGTGATCGTTCATTTTTCATGTCTGAAGAACAGTTCTTGTTGACCCCCCCTCTGCCACAATCATATTATTATTATTCAGTTGCAGTGCTCCTCCTGGGTCTCGCACCCAATTCAAGAGAACGTGAGGGGTCACCAACCTTTGCACTTGCCCCCCAGTTTACAGCAACAGCCACGGCTCACGCCTGATATTTCATCGCATTTTCTTCCCAACTCGCGCGTTCGCGCGGGACCCCCATACAATTCATACAGAAATCGCGCTCTCGCGTGGGGCCTCCTCGCAGTTTATTCAGACGCCGCGCCCTCGACACTCAGGAACCACGGTCTCCTTGTGGATATCCTCACGATTCATTTGGGAATCGCGCTATCGCTCGAGACTTCCTCGCGATTCATGCAGAGCTCACGCTTCAGCGCCCTGCCTGCTCGACCTGGCCGTCTGGGCCCGCCTTCCTGGCCCGCCCGTTAGGTTCTACCCGCCCGAATTGCCCGTCTGGGCCTCAGGGCTCCAAGCTGGGCGATAACGCCCAGTGTGAAAAGTTCGCGACGGCCAGGTCTCAGGGTCTTTCGGGAGCAAATCACGGGAGCTTCGTATGTCCTCGAAATTCCGTGTTCGGAGAGCGCATGAGCGTCAATTCGCCTCGATGTAGCGTCGGTGAGCGTGAACTAGCGTAGACTAAGGTCGGTGTGTCGGTTCGCAGGAGCCAGGAAGATGGCATGCGAGGCTTCTGATGTTCCAACCTACTGTATATTTGACCACCAGACAGAAATTCGAGCACCAAAACAGTACCGAAATTCTTTACGCTTCGCGTATCCCCACCAGCCCATCTCAAAACAGCAACTCTTGCGAAGCATGCCGACAGTCGTGTTGTTCAGGCGTGTTTCCGCCTGCCCCCGCATATCTCCCCTGTTCCTCCTTCCTCCCGCCTCCTTGTACATCCTCCTTGTGGTGGGAGCGGGAGAAGGACGAGGCGGAGGAGGAGGGAGAGAAAAGTCGTTTGGGCTTCTCGTCCTGGTGTGAGTCGTTCGGGCCCTTCTTCCTGGTGTGAGTCGTTCGGGCTCTTCGTGGTGTGAGTCGTTCGGGCTCTTCGTCCTGGTGTGAGTCGTTCGGGCTTCTCGTGGTGTGAGTTGTTCGGGCCCCTCGTCCTGGTGTGAGTCGTTCGGGCCCCTCCTCCTGGTGTGACTCGTTCGGGCTCCTCGTGGTGTGAGTCGTTCGAGGCCCTCGTCGTGGTGTGAGTCGTTCGGGCTCCTCGTGGTGTGAGTCGTTCGGGCGCCTCGTCCTGGTGTGAGTCGTTCGGGCCCCTCCTTGTGGTGTGAGTCGTTCGGGCTCTTCGTGGTGTGAGTCGTTCGGGCCCCTCGTCCTGGTGTGAGTCGTTCGGGCTCCTCGTGGGGCCTCTTGGGGGCCTCTTGGAGCCTCTTGGGGCCTCTTGGGGGCCTCTTGGGGGCCTCTTGGGGGCCTCTTGGGGGCCTCTTGGGGGGGGCCTCTTGGGGGCCTCTTGGGGGCCTTGGGGGCCTCTTGGGGCCGCTTGGGGGCCTCGGGGGGCCTCTTGGAGGCCTCTTGGGAGCCTCCTGGGGGCCTCTTGGGGCCATCTTGGGGCCTCGTGCGACCTCCTCAGAAGCGCAAATGAGAGCTGCCCCCTGAGAAGGACAAAATGAGCCCAAAACCTTCGTAAAATCAATGATTTTGCTATGAAGGAAGATGAGCGCGGCCCCCTCAGGACGCCCAAATGGGGCCAAAACCGTAGTAAAATCAATGATTTTGCTTCAAAGACGAGCAGAGGGGCCAAACTCCCTCCCCCCGTCGGGGCCAGAATCCTCGTGAGGGTCGTCGTTTTTTGGCCCTCCCAGGAGTCGAAAAAGACCCCTCTGACCACCCGCGGGTCCCTCTCCAGGCCCAGGGGGAGGGGGTAGGGGGAGGGGTAAACCCCTCCCCGAAGGGGAAGAAGGGGGGTTGAGGACAGAGCGGGCTCTCTAAACCACTCACGCCCAAAGGGCTGGTGGGACTGGAGGGTTTTCACGTGTCGGGCCCGGGGAGGCGATACTCGTTCGACTCAGTTTTGATACTTTTCTTATGTGTGTTCGAAATTGTTTCTGGGATGTGGTTATTTAGTACGATGGGAGCAATATAACTCCAGGGGCCGGGAGGAGGAGGAGGAGGAGGAGGAGGAGAGGAGGAGGAGGAGGAGGAGGAGGAAGGAGGGAGGAGGAGGAGGGGAGGAGGGGAGGAGGAGGAGGAGGAGGAGGAGGGAGGAGGAGGAGGAGGAGGAGGGGCAATGTGAGGGGGGGGGGACAGGCTCAGGGGGGAACGCAGCGACCCCTGGGCCCGCCCGCGGCGGAGCGCAGGAGCCGAGGCCTCACAGGTGGGGTCGGAGTCGATGGGTGCCTCTTGGAACCAGAACCCGACCACAGATTCTCTAATGTGGCCTCGTGGGGTCCGCTGGAGCCACTGGGGGGCCCTTGGAACCCGAGCCATAACATAAATCCATTCGTGTGGCCTCGTGGGGGGCCTCTTCGAGCTCGAGCCAGACCATGCATCCTCTGACGTGGCCCCGCGGGGCCTCCTGGGGGCTTGCGGGTGTCCTTTGGAACCCGAGCCCGACAATGAATCCTCTAATGTGGCCTGGCGGGGGTCGGAGGATCGCGCCGCATCGCCGATGCATCGGCGATGCGGCTCGATGTGTAGCCCGACTTTCTCTGCACCGATGTCGTTGATGCTGCGGCCCGATCTGCTCCAGCCCGATATGGGAGGTCCCTAAGGATCTGCCACGCGCAAAGGGGCGGTAGGGGGGACGGGAGGATGCTTCTTGGAAGCACCCTGCTTCTTCAGAAGGCGCGGGGCCTTGTCTATAGATGCAGGGCAGGCCGGCGCCTTCTGAGACGCAGCCTCTTTCCAAGAAGCCTCCCGCCTCCCCCTAGCCCCTGGTGCGCGCCGCCAGCCCGAAGGAGACAGAATTGGGCGGCGGAAGGCAGAGCCCCTGGCGTTCGGATCCTCAGCGCGCGGGCTCGGGCTGCCCCCACCGACGCGCGGCCGCGCGCGGCCGGCGGCTGCTGCGGCGATGCCGGTGCAGGGCGCGGGCGGCGGACCCGCCCGCCGAGTAAGTTGCTGCTGCTGCTGCTGCTAGTGCTGCTGCTGCTCCTCTCTGCGAACAAGGACGACAGCAACGACCACGACGAATACGATGTCGATGTCGATGGCGCTGCCGCCGACGGTGGTGAGGACCTCGACGCCGAGGCCGCCGCCGCCGGCGACCGCGAGCCGTTGCGCCAAGTGCAGCCGTGGTGCCTCCTAATCCTTCCCTCCCCTCTCCTCCCTCCCTCCCTCCCTCCCTGCACTTTCGAAGTCTCCACATCGCCCCCGTTTCTCGTCACCCTCCGCCGCCTGCTCCTCCTTCGCCTCCGCCGGAGACGGCATGCCCAGCGACGCTCCGCGAGCGAAGAGGGCGACATGCGTGATCGGCAGTGCTGCAGAAGGGAGCCAGGACTCCCGAGGGTCGGGCGCTGCATTTCCAGGGCACGGCGGCCAGCGATGGCGCCCCGGGGCCTGAAGACAGCGACCCGACGGTTGGGCGCGAGGACCTGCAGCAGGCCCCCCCTCCCCGCCGAGCTCGCCCCCACTTCCTCCTCCTCGTCGTCGGAGTCGCAATCGCAATCGCAGTCGCAATCACAATCGCAATCACGAGCACAATCACGATCACAGGGCCGCTTGGGGGCTCCTCGGGGCCTTTGGGAGGGCCTCTTGAGGGGGAAAGATCGGATGTTCGGTTCGCGTTCTCCCTCTTTGCCTCTCTTAGGGCCCTCTCGGTGTGAGGGCTTCCCGTCGCAGGCTGATGCTTTCACGTTGCTCGAGGTGGCTGCAGCTGCTGTGATGCGTGCATCACTGGGGAGACGCGATCGTCCATGACTCGTGGATCACGCCAACACAGTTTGCCATGACTCTGGTCCTCCGAGGTGGCCGACGTGCTGCGCGCGCGCCCGTCGCACATCCGCTTGGGTCGCCTCCCGCCAGCAACGCCCGGGCACGCCTGGTGCTGTTTGCGCGTCGGCACCATGCGGCCGACGCGCGCACTTCAGCATCGTGCCGTTCGGGGAAGCGTGGGACCCTGGCCTGTCGGAGCTCGAGCTCGAGCTCGGCCGCCGCTCTTTGATGACGGTCAGCTCCTGAACTTTGAAGGTCGTCGTCGTCGTCGTCGTCGACGGCGACTTCCTCGCCGCCGCCGCCGTCGCCGTCGTCGTCGTCGTCGTCGTCGTCGTCGTCGTCGTCGTCGTCGTCGTCGTCCTCCTCCTCCTCCTCTTCCTCCTCGTCAAAGTTCAGACGAGGCACCGCCATTTCGTCACGGGACCACGTCGATTCCCCCCAAGCCCGAGTCGGTGACGTCCCCCCGAATGGGACGAGCACCGCTGCGGCCGCTTTCGGGCCAGGCCGCTCGGGCAAGAGCATCTTGTGCTGCTGTTGTGCTATGGTTTTCCAGTCAGACGCCCGCCTCCAAGGGGGGGCACATAGCCCTATGCTGTCCTTCTGCGTCCTGGACCGGGGCGACGACGGTCTCCGCTCGCTCCCTCGGTTTTCCTTTCCCGAGGATACGGATCTGGGCACACGTACGGCAACGGATATGGGAACACCTACGGTAACAGCGAGCCTGCCACTGTGGTCGGGCAGCCGGTGTCGGGTCAGGCCGTAGGCGACGTGCACGTGGCCATGGGCGTGCCCTACAGGGTGGACCCCAGCCAGGCCCTCGTCCGGGAGCGAGGATCGATGGTCGGGCTGTGAGGGTCGATGTTCGAAGGTCGATGTTTCGTGGCATGTTCGTTTCTGCAGATTGGCCTCCAGGAGGCTTCCCGTTGCCGCGGCTGGATCCGCCTCGAAGTTCTTTTCAGAACATACCCAGGGCAGGTCCAGGATCGAGAACTCAGGAAAGGGCACGGGGGGAGGAGGGGGAGGGGGAGGATGTAGGAGGGGCAGGAGGAGGGGGAGGATGGGAAGCAGCAGGAGGAGGAGGAGGAGGAGGAGGAGGAGGAGGAGGAGGAGTAGGAGGAGGAGGAGGAGGAAGCCTCCCAGGCCACCACCGCGAGCATGCCGTGGATGTCGCAGTTCCCCGAGAAGCGTCAGAACAACAAGATCGAGGCCATTCGGTCTGGCGGAGAGGCGGCTAAACAGTACCCTGAGGATATGTGGGATGAGAAGGATCAGAAGGAGGAGGAGGAGGAGGAGGAGGAGGAGGAGGAGGAGGAAGAGCAGGAGGAGGACCAGTGGAAATGCAACACTCATCAACGATGTTGGAATAAACCCTCCCTCCAAGCTCCCTCCTCATAGGCCCCTGCAAGGATTCGTTTGCACTGACGGAAGTGCCCCGTTGGGCGACAAGCATCCTTTTAAGATCCTGAACCGTGCCGAGATACCGTTCTTGGGACCCCGTCGCGACGAAGCAACCTGATTGTTGCGCATTGACGAGGCTGAATCGTGTCAGAACGCCATTCCTGGGACTTCAACACCGCGAGTTAATGCAATTGCGCCCTGTCAACGCAGAATCGTTCCAGAACGCCAGTTCTGGTATGCTACCCATGCGGATCCGTTCAACTCTTGCAACCGTTGACGAATGTGCGCGGCGCTAAGGCGAGGGCCACATCTTGAAAAGGAACCGCCCTCAAGCCGTGAAACGAGTGTGCGCGGTGCTAATGCGAGAGCCGCATTTTGGAAAGCTATCATCCTCCATCCGTGAAAATCTGTATTTTTCAAAGGCGAGTGTGCGTGGCGCTACGACGAGAGCTACGTTTTGAAAAGGAGCCGCCCTCAATTCGTGAAGCTCTTGCATTTTTAACGGATATGCGAAGCGCTAAGGCGAGAGCCACATTTTGGATGGAAGCGACCCGTCTTCCATCTGTGAACCTGTTGCCGCTTTTTGAGCTTCAGGATGATAATGGTAGGGAGGTCTCGGGCGAAGCGTCCGGGCCGCTCTTCCGACTGGCATCGGGGTGCGCCAGGGAGGAGTGATCATTATATCTGCCTGTGTCATCTCGCACTGCATTACTTCGACCGACCGTGCCTGGGTGTGCCGGGATGTGTCGGTGTACTGCCTCGGTGTGCTGGGATCCGTGTACTGGGATTGGTGTGCTGAGATGTGTCGGACGTACTGGGGAGTGCGCTGGGGTCTGGGATGCTTGCTGTGATGTGCTGGAATACGTGCTGGTTGTGCCCCCCCTGGGCGTGCTGGGATGCGTGTTGGCATGTGTCGGTGTGCGCTGGGGGTGCTGGGATATGTGGGTTTTGACTCCCCCCCCAGTCCCTTTCTTCTGGCCGACCGTGCCCCTCCCTCTCCCCCCGCGGCCCCCTCCTTTCATTCCGACCGACCGTGCCCCCCCCGCCCCCCGACCATGCCCCGCTCCCCGCTGCCCGGCCGTGGCCCCTCGCTCCCCCCCCCGCCCCCCTCCCTTGATTCCGACCGACTGTGCCCCCCCGCTGCA